GTTAAAGTTCTGCATCCATTTGAGACACCAGACCATTCCAGTTTCGAGTCGAGTGTTGAATACTCAGAAGAGGAAACAGAGACGGTCTTTGAACAACAATCCAACGACGTGGATGGAAATGGATTGACGACAGATAATAGAGAAGACAAGAAAATCTCAAATGAAGCTCGTCGAACAAAAAGATTGAAATCAAAGAGCGACGATTCAGAAAATCGACCGACGAAACGGAGAAAGTTGTCCGGCACACGCCCAGCAACACGTCATTCTCCAAGACAACCACTCTGGGTAAGAGATTCGATCAAAATCCACATTCAATTGTTCCATTTAGGAAGAATCTTTGCGTGAAGTCCCAAAGAAACGTCATCAGTTGTCGGTAAAGCGAAGGTCAATCGAATTGACAGAAAATCGAAAAATTCAGATTAACTCTGAAGATCAATCAAATATTTGGGACAAACCAAATGACGCTCTTCACATGATTACTGGAAAGAGTCTTTCGATTGTTCCTGTTTTGTTGAATCCGCTCTTAGAAGCCGCAAAGCAAGATCCGACTACCCGTTCAAGCCAAGATGTTGCTTCTATTGAAAGAGACTCGACAATAAGAGATCCTTCGAGAGATAACTCTGCGACAAGCGAGTCTCCAACAGCAAGCGAGTCTCCAACAGCAAGCGAGTCTCCAACAGCAAGCGAGTCTCCAACAGCAAGCGAGTCTCCAATAGCAAGCGAGTCTCCAATAGCAAGCGAGTCTCCAATAGCAAGCGAGTCTCCAACAGCAAGCGAGTCTCCAACAGCAAGCGAGTCTACAACAGCAAGCGAGTCTACAACAGCAAGAGAGTCTACAACAGCAAGAGAGTCTACAACAGCAAGAGAGTCTACAACAGCAAGAGAGTCTACAACAGCAAGAGAGTCTACAACAGCAAGAGAGTCCACACCAACAAGAGAGTCGACGGGTGTAGAGAACGAGGCATTGGGACGTAAAACATGCATCACTCCAACAATCAGCACTTCTACGAAACAACGCGCTCAATCGCCGGTTACAAGAGCAATAAAGCGTCGAACGGGTCGGACTTTGGGACACACCAGCGCGGATGTGGATCATCTTCTTATCGTCACACACAATCGATCTGCTTTCCTGAATGGACTTCAAAGACTTCAATGTCGAAAAAGAGATATCGAAGCGGATTTATCGGCCATTCAATGTGAACTTCGACTTGCTGAGCAACTCTGTCATCAAAGAAAGAAACGTAAATCAAATTCGATCAAAAGGAAAGGGCGACTGAAGTGGAATCGCGATAAAAATGGTGCATTTATCAGTCTCAAACAAACATCTCAAAATCCAATATCTCCAGTCCCAAGTTTTCAAAATCAAACTGCGGGAGAAACTTCAATCTTTCCCCGTTGCAGTTATTTCATCGTTGATACCTTTCTCAATCTTCTTTGTACATCTGGTCTTCCTAGATGTCCCAAATTTAAGTCTCTCTTAAGATTTATTACAGATCTCTTTCCCTATCAGCGCGATTATACAAGAGACAGAATAACAACAGTCATCGATAATTTTTCGCAACTAAATGTGTTCAGATCGACACTTGCTTTCATCGCTATCCCTTTGCTTGTATCGCTCGGAAAGGACGAACAATCCAAACTTTCGATACGTCGGACCCAAACAAATCAACACGCGTATTTGTTGTCCGTCCCTGATACTGTCTATCTTCAATTGCTGCTGGCAGCGGGAAGTTATCAGCTTTTGCTCGGCCTGCATCCCTCAAGTAAAACAAGCATTGAAACAAACAAAATTCATTCAACAACTGTCAAACGCAACTCTTCTTGGAAGCCATTCGTTCGGACGGTCATCTCTTCATATTCTTCACACCAACAGACAAAAAATGAAGCTGTTGTTTTTTCTCTTTGTCAAATGTGTTCGTCGCTCTTCTCTCTCCCTAACAAAGGCTTCAAATTTCACCCCAGACCAACAGTTCAACCCATACGACGTCCTCCGGTCTTATCCATCGCCCCTCCCTCTTCTGTTGTGAAAAGGTGGGATACAAAATGGAAATTATGCAAACGAAGTTCTTCTGCAATAGCGGAATTGAATCGTGGAAGGTTCAAAGTGCTTGTTGGCGGCAGGCTCTTCTTTGACCAATTTGCACTCATTTAATTTTTGAGTCGTTCTTTTGCCCTCAATTTGGCGCATTTTTCGTGTTTTTCGCAACTCTTCAAACTTCGCTTTTCTTTCGCCGTTGCAGGACTGATTCTGAGTAATCCAGCTACAATTGGTAATGGACACTGATTACCCAAAGTGCATAATCACTGGCTGAAATTGCTCACCTATTGTAACAGAAGTGCACCAGTACCACACCTTTGGACCTTTTTTATATAGAAGTTTGAATCCACTAAATCCTGTTTTCGTCAAACATGGCCACTCAAATGTAATGGAATTTTGAATTGTTTTCTGTAACAGCAATAGACTACAATGTATAAAGACGTTTCTCCTCTGCGTTCGGGACAAATTCTTCGGCCACCAGGAAATTCTTCGTATCATTCAATGACGTCCGTAGATCATCCAACAGGAACAACTGCCCGAAGTGTGTCACCGTTTTCTCGCCTACCTCTCGAATCTGGTATCCGACGAGGCTTGGACTATGAGGACGAAACGACTGTTTCCTATTGGAGACGCATTACTGAATTGCAAACCGAACTTGATCATGCCAGAGTGAGTGTTCGATACTTGTTGAATTAAAATTATCTCAGATGTTTAGTTTGGATGGCAAAATGATTTGTTTGTTTAGTTTGGATTTCTTGATGTTGTTCTTTGGTTTTATAGAAGGAAATAAAAACACTTCGAAATCGAGATTTGAACCCTGGAAATGTTTTTTCTGTTGAAGCGGAAAAGTCCCAACATCCTGTAAGAGCATCATTTCAACAACTGTCTCTCAATTGCGCGCTTCAGTGGTTGGTTTCAAATCGGGAAGGAACTCTCATTTCGCGTCTTCGTGAATATGAAGTACGTTGATGTTTCCAACGAAGAATGATTTTATTGGAGATGAAGAACAAAGAATTGTTTTTCCATTGTTTTTAGGTGCAGTTGAAGCAAGTTACCGAAGATCTGACTCGATCGCGAGCAAGAGAAACGGCTCTTAATCACCAAATGGAATCTGAGGTAAAAGCGCTTGAGGATAAATTAAAGTTTCAAGCGAAAAACTTACGAGAAAACGGTGAAGAGTTGAGTTCATTGCAAGAGAGAAACAAACATTTAACGGCTCAATTAAATTCATTGCGTGAGGCAAGAGCAGTTTTGGAATCTTCTGCTCAGTAAGTTGAAAATCGAGCGAACAGATAATTGCTATTACTATAAGAGTGATGGACAGGATTATCGCCTCTGAGGGGCTTCTGTTGATCTCTTCAAGTTAATGCATTTTTTTCCGAGCCATCGGTTAACTTTAACGTATTTTTTGTTTTCAGGGCTGCAGAGAGCTTAGAGCAGAAACGCCTCGCGCATTTAAGAGAAGAACTTCGCAATGAACGACTGGAAATAGGGCGACGGGAAGAAGAGCTTCATCGCGATTTTGAGAAACTTGAACGTCGACGAGAAGCAATTGAATCGAAGAGCAATGATGCTGAAACGATGCTTCTAACATCAAATGAAACTGTAAAGCAATTGGAGACTCAGAAGCGAAACTTTGAACTCAGAGAACAAAGATATTTAATGCAAGAAGAAAAACTGATGGAGGAGAAGAAGGAAGTGGATAATGCGAGAAGAGAACTAGACAAGAGGGAAGAAGAGATCCGAGCAAAAGAACAAAAATTAGGGAAATTCGAAAAAGAGCTTTGGTCTCGTCAAAAGGGAATTCAGGAGCGAGAGGCTGAGATTCGCAGAGAGACAGAGGAATTGAACAAAAATAAGGAAAAAGGAGATTCAGAAAAAATAAAACGTGGAGGGATGCAAAATGGTACACTAGAGAGTGGCGAGTATTGGAAAGTAAGCGCGATGCAGAAACGATGAGCAAATAATATGGATTTGCAGAAACGTTTCGAGGATGCAGTGATGGTGCAAAAGACGCTTGAACAACAATTGGAAGTGGCTCAAGTAGGTGACACACAATCGATTTCATGAGAGACGCTTTGATTGTTTTGCAGGCAATTTCAGTTGGAATTTCTGGAAAGCGTAAAACAATCAAAATGGAGAGCGATACTGAGAACTCAACACGAGGAACGAAAGCGTCTAGAGCAAATGCGCTGTTGACAGAAGTCATTAGATTAGATGAGAAGGAGAAGGGCTTGCAAACGCGATCACGAAGTCGAAGAAAAGCCTCTGAATCTGACGAACCGGCGGTTGAAATTTCTATTGAGGCTGATGGGGGATCCCGCAAAGGACGAAAGCGTCAGGTAAGATGTCGATGGATCGATATGGATTCAACATTTGAATGTGCCCTTGTAATATTTGAATGTTCCCTTGCATCAACGCGATAGTCGAATCATTGAAGGGTTCAGAATGTTCATTTTATCCTTGATGTTTAGGCTGCAGATGCATCATCGGCAGAGCTGATACCATCTCCTGATGCTGACACCGTGATAGCACCCTCTCCATCCAAGCGGCGACGTCAGGATTTAAAAGCCAAGGACTCCGATGCAGATTCAATAAATGGATCACCCCGCAAACGAGGAAGTAAGAGCCAGAATGAGAAGCAGTTGACTTCTTGTTTTTAATCGCCAGGAAAACCCCAGAATCCATCAGTAAAAAAGCCGCCACGACCTCGCTCCCGCTTGGATGATGGAGAACAATAAATTTGATCAATTGCTTTGACTCCTTTGTTTCCACGGATGTGATGATTTGATCATAAGCCGTTTTGCCACTTGTTATTCATCTTTATGATTTTTCCTTTTTTTGAATCATACGTTGGTCTGAAAAATTCGTTTTATTGAAATACCCAAAGTTTCTTATTTTGGTTGGCCTCTGGAGTATCGAACATATTTGAGTTAGTTGAAAAGAAGTGGTAATTTAGAAAATGTTTCTCTCAAGCAAAATCCTTTCAACGGGATTCGACGGTTTAGGATTGCGCTGGTCTGTCATACCCCGACGTGTTCGCATCATTGATGTTGGTCCAAGGGATGGACTACAGAATGAGAAGAAGATTGTTTCTACTGAAAAGAAGCTCAAATTAATCAACAAATTAGCTGGTGAGAAGAAAGTTTGAATCCCTCGGTTCAGTTGGACCTCTCTTCATCAAGCTGATTCTCTTTGAATGTGGACGCTGTTGTTAGAAGAGCTTTCATTGCGTTTCGGTTGCTTGAGTTCCTAAATGCTTGTGTGCGTCAGATGCCGGAGTTGGGGGAGTAGAAGCAACATCCTTTGTTTCACCAAAGTGGATTCCTCAGATGCAGGATCATGAGGCTGTCGCAGCTGCTCTGCAAGAACTTCAAAAACCAAACGTTTCATTTCCGGTGAGAGATCCACCACTTCTAGACGCTGAAGGTTTCAAATAGGTTCTCGTTCCCAATCTGCATGGGTTTAACAAAGCTTTAAAATTCGGGGTTAAAGAAGTTGCAATTTTTACAGCAGCAACTGAATCATTCACGAAGCACAATACGAACTGTACTTTAGAAAGCAGCTTGGAACGCTGTGGTGCGATTCTTGCTGCTGCTGGCGCACTTCAAGGGATCCGAGTCCGAGGGTTAAGTTTTGAAGTTTCGAGGCCCTTATTCATTTTATTTGAGCAGCTATATTTCTTGTGCTTTGGGGTGCCCATATGAAGGAAACGTGGAAGCAACCCAGGTGATCAAGCCGCTCAAATACTTGCTAGATGCTGGTATGTCGTCTTCTTGCTTGATTGTCTGAACAAACAGATGTGTTACCCAGGATGTTATGAAGTCTCCTTGGCGGATACAATGGGGACTGCAACGCCCGGAAGTACAGATAAACTACTTCGAGCAATTGGTGAATACGATATGGGATTGTTGCACCGAATAGCAATGCATTTCCATGATACAAGAAAGCAAGGCCTAGCAAACGTGTTAGCAGCACTACAGGTGAGAGCACAAGGATCCAAATTTTCTTGAAACCTCCATTTTTCAGTTTGGTATACATACATTCGATTCAAGCGTTGCCGGATTGGGAGGATGCCCTTATGCGCCGGGCGCCACAGGGAATCTCGCCACAGAGTCGCTGGTTTATTTATTAACTGGAATGGGAATTCAACACGGTATTGATCTAGAAAAACTTACAGACGCATCAACATTTGCCAAAGAGTTGATACAATAAAGATATCAGCTTCCCTTTTTTCTACCCTTAAAATTCCACCAGCATGGGCGTCGATTACCTCGCTTGGAAGTCCGTTCTTGCGCATTCGTTCAGCAATACAACTTTCAGCAATCTGTGATCTCTCGTCACGAATCTTATCTTGATCTTTAACAATTTCTCCGTTTCAATTATTCCAACAAATAGCGTTTTCAAAAATGAAGATCGCGTGGTACAAGATTTCAACAACTGGCTCAATGTATCCTTACAAATTAGTTTTATACAAGTATCCCTTGACAAGAATAACGATTACTCCAGTCGTTCTAGTAATTAGCTGTAACTTTTTCGATGAACTCGTGTTTCGTTTGCACATCAAGACGTCCAAATTGCAGCAGGAGCGATTCGAATAAAAAGTTCATAGAACGATGTTTTGAAATCTGGGACAGAACTACAGATCCTGGCTATTGTTTCTGCACATTAATCTAAAAGTGATTCAACCTTCTTCAAACTTTCTCTTCTCAGCGTCCCCCACCGACTTTCCACTGACCAATCCTCCACGATATATTTGCAAACTTCGTTCACCAGATTTCATTTCGTCCATGTTCTCGCTTCTTCATCACACCACAATTGTGTCGACAAACTATATGCTTCTCATTGATGGGGAGTACTACAGAAAAAACTTCAATGTGGAAACGGATCGTTTTGAATTGCCGGGCATTCTCATGAATTATGTCGTGGGATTGCTTTTGTTGATGACATTAGATTTTCGTCATCGCAGAGGATTGGGACACCGGGACGAGAATGTTCGAGGAATGGAAGGAAGGTTTTTTTGCTGATCTATTTTGACTCTATTCATATAGGTGGTGACCGAATAAGAACTCCCAGCAGATGTTCCAAATCCCAGATGTCCCAAATCCCAGGCTTATCATCCCGTGGAGACGTTCAATAACAGTCGCTCCATTGTGATAATTTGGAGACGATCAGACTCGTTTTGCGCTACTCTTCCAGAAACGTGGAAGTTGTGTCAAAAAATTGTCAATGAGGGATTCTGAAATCAATTCCAGGAGAAGATCAGCGAATAGAAAAGTTGAAAGACTATAAAGGGTCCGATTGGAAATTGAAAAATAGCTCCAAAACGAAACTGCTAGGGAATCTTTTGACGTTCGCAAAAATCAAAAAAGTCAAAGATAAAGAGTACGATTTAATATTTTGCTCGCAGATGAAATTAAAGCTGTTGGAGTTCTCCGAACAGATCTCTCAGATGTGGGGCGAGTTCCAAGAACTAGGAGAAGATGAAAGCAAACATCTGAAAAAAGTAGGAGGAAGATTTCTATGTCTTCTGAAATGTCGGCTCAGAATAATTTCAAGAATCGTCTTCTAGGAAAACATGTCACTCAATAACGCGGTTCAACAACTTTGCTACTTGCTTTCATTTCCGCTTTGTCTGCACTAATTTAATGTTTTTCATGACCAGAAGAAATTGCCGGTCTTTTTTAAAATTTTCTGTTGTTGTAGGTTTGGCAAGAAAAGGTTGCATGTATTGCATGTACGCGTGAAACTGTGTTGCGGGCGTCATCAACCTGCTCCTTCAACAGAATGGAGCATTCTTTTTATCGCATCCCAACTTTAACGACTTCAAATTCTCAAACAAACTCTTAAATAAATCCTTAACCAACTTCATAAAAAACCAACCTACCAGGAACAACAGCGCGTGAAAGGAACAGAACGAATATTCCTACATGGTTGTCTTTCCCTTTCTTCAATTCGACGACGCCGTCTTGGGGTGTACAATTGACACCAGAAACGTTGGGGTCGATTTGTACAGCAATATTCATCGGGCGCATGGCGACATCTGTTCCAATACTAGTCTACATACTACTCTATCGGCTACACCAAATACTACTACACCAAAAACTACTCTATCGGCTACAGCAAATACTACTCTATCTGCCACACCAAATACTACTACTCTATCTGATACACCAAAAACTACTCTAACTGATACATTAAAACCTACTCTATCTGGAACACCAACAATGGAAGTTTGCTGTCTTCGTTCACGAAATATCTTAATGATCGAGGAATATCCACATCCAAACCGAATGTCAACAGTCTTGTGAAGGCCTTCCTTGCTTCTCTTGATCTCCCTGAGGCAATCACAATAATGAGTCCTTCCCTCTTTTGATCCTTCCCTCTTTTGATCCTTCCCTCTTTTGATCCTTCCCTCTTTTGATCCTTCCCTCTTTTGATCCTTCCCTCTTTTGATCCTTCCCTCTTTTGATCCTTCCCTCTTTTGATCCTTCCCTCTTTTGATCCTTCCCTCTTTTGATCCTTCCCTCTTTTTGATCCTTCCCTCTTTTGATCCTTCCCTCTTTTGATCCTTCCCTCTTTTGATCCTTCCCTCTTTTGATCCTTCCCTCTTTTGATCCTTCCCTCTTTTGATCCTTCCCTCTTTTGATCCTTCCCTCTTTTGATCCTTCCCTCTTTTGATCCTTCCCTCTTTTGATCCTTCCCTCTTTTGATCCTTCCCTCTTTTGATCCTTCCCTCTTTTGATCCTTCCCTCTTTTGATCCTTCCCTCTTTTGATCCTTCCCTCTTTTGATCCTTCCCTCTTTTGATCCTTCCCTCTTTTGATCCTTCCCTCTTTTTGATCCTTCCCTCTTTTGATCCTTCCCTCTTTTTGATCCTTTCCTTTGATTTAGGAAGCTTGTTCAAGAGCACGTTGGGGAAAGGAAGTGATTCTCCATCTCATCAATGGAGGGGAAAGTCAATCGGAAGAGTATCGCATAAGCGCAAGAGAAGCATCATTCATTCATCAAAATTGGTTTTGACACAAAATTTGTAGAAAATGGCGTCTTGTTGGAGAGTCACTTTTTGCTCGTCGAGAGCGCACTCGGAGAAATTTCTCAAAAGTATGTTTTCAACAGAAGCAGTTTTGTGTGGTTGATTTTTTTTTTTCCCAGAATTCCAATTCCGGAGTGGCTCACGAACTTTCTGTAAGTCACTACTCACCAACTCTTCAAAGCAGTGATTTCTAGGGCACCATTTCGCTTCGTAAAACGTCTTTCGAACGGTCTCGAGTTCAAGGCTCAGAACATTCCTCCCTTTTACAAAAAGTCGTTGCGCGATTTTGGTGAGATGATTGGAGACAAGGAGGTTACAACGAAGTACAGGAGATACGAAATTCGCGACAAGACCGTTGAGGACAGACCTTGTAACAATTCTCCCTTGCTGCGGCTTTTCCTTCATTGTGTTTTGGGACAGCAGGAATCGATTGAGGTTGAAGAAGGGGCTTCGTGTTAACGTATGCTAGAAAGTTGGAGGTAGAGCTGGCGAGGATAGCGGCAGAGAGTCGGGTAACAGTTGATACTGCGCCAGTCAAAGCGGACACAACGGCGAGAAGCGAGGTCGAGAAATGTTCGAGCGAGCTGTAAACGAAGATGAGAAGGAGTAGAGAGCAACCTACCGATGGGATGTGAGGGAACACATGGGTGGTGCAGGCTTCAGCGAGCTGGTGGTAGTGGACGAGGCAGCGTTCCAGATGGTCGGAGGCAGCCAGCGTCGCAAGGGACCACTGAGTTGACTGGAAGAGAAGGTAGCGGGCGGTTGTAGTCCAGGGGAGCACGGGGACGAAATAGCGCAGGGGGCAAAGGTGATGAACACCGCCGTTGTCACCTGAAAGAGAAGGAGAGCGAGTTTGAATAAGCCCCTTAGGGTACTTATCGCAAAGGACATGGTCCGGCAAAGAACCGTTGCCGTCGTAATGAGGCCGAAGAGCGCGAGAGCGAGCACCATTAAGTTAAATTGGTTTGGTGTTAATTGGTTATAACTCGTTTCGTGGAGAACAAGAAGAGAGAGAAAGAATGGGGGAAAACAAAAGCATAGGAGGTGCATGTAAGAGGTTTAGCAGCCGGGTGCAACGTTTCTAAAATCTTAACGACTGCTTTGAGGGGAAACTGCAAATATCCAAAAAGTGAAAGAACTTGTTGAAGATCTGGTGTTTGATGATTGGCGAGCAGCCACCGCTCTTGATATCCAAGAACGTGGAATTGGTCAGGTGACCTCGCCAATGATTATACCTGTATTTCAAGTCGGCGTTACAGAGGAAGAAATGTTAAAGGGATATTTCCAGAAACCCCTCTTCCAAAGTAGGATCCACAATCCATGACCACGCTTCATTCGAACCTCAGGCCTTGGTGTGTTGACTTTTGGGAAGAACACTGGGTCCCCCTACCTAACAAGCCGTGCGAGATTGAGCAGCTATTGTGCCAGTATTACGATCTTGCACTGCAGGGTGCATCAAAGACATATCGGGACTTAACCAAGTATATCGGGGCACGGTTGTGGCCTCTTCTTGAAATAGAGGACGAGAAAAAATCTGAGTTGTTTCGTCGACTCGAAGGAACCGTCTTCCGTGGGCGTCCCTTTGTTGGAGAAGAGGTTTCTGGGAAGGTATTTATTGCGCTCAACTTGTTTATCGCGACGGAGTATCCACACCTTCTGTAAGTGAATTATTATTATTAGGGGTCATCTTCAGACGGGCCTTAGATAGGCTTCCGAAGTAATTGTGAATCTATTTGACTTCTGGGCATTTTTTAGTGAAATTTGGCCAAAAAAAATGTTCCCAGAAGCGTGTCAAGACGAGATCGATTACTCAGTCCAAACAGCCTTGATAGAATCCATTGAGGAGTATCTGCTGGCGGAAGAGCACTGTTATAGCAAGTTAACAGGTGTTGAATCATTGGGAATGGAATGTTTGGCAAAAATCATCGCGCCACCAAGAAATGAAAACTTCATCTTCCCTGATGAAGGCATTTAATACTGATAGGTTCAAGAAGTTCTTGCGCAAACGGGGGTATCATTGGAGAGGAGACTGTCAGGATGTAGGAGAACTGATTGCGCAAGAGGGCTACCAAGCTTGTTTGTTTCAGACCGGAGAAGAATTGTTCAAATATTGATGGGGCGGCCCAGATGAATGTCATTATAGCTCGCCATAAAGATTCTGGCTTGAATGTTCTCAGGCA